TTTTTTTAAATTTAGTAAAAATTTATTTAATATGTTTCATTTTCAATCTTATCTTTTATTTACCTCAATTTTTATTTACTTAAAAAATTTATCTCTTACTTATATAAAAAATTATTGCTATTAGCTATTATTATAGAAATAATATAATAAAATATAATAAAATATAATAAAATAAAATAATTATTGAAACAAAAATGAAGGCTTTGNGCAATCACTATAAAAATATTATATTATTTTTTTCTCTTTATGATATTTATAATAGAAATTTTTTAGAAAAATTTTTTAAAAATACAAATAATGATAAATTCATATGAAAATATACATATGGCATGATAATTTTTTGTTCATTCAAATCCAAAAAAAAGGAATTCAATATAAGATCTATATCATGTTGAGATAGACAAGATTTTTTCTTATAATTTTTGCTTTTTAAATAAATTAAAAAATAAAATAATATAAATAATGTAAGTTGATATAAATTAACACAAAATAATATAAATTAAAACAAATTTATAAATTGAAATATATATTTAATATTTTTAAACCAAGATCTATGAATTATCCATATAAATATGCTCATATATTCCACGCACTTTCATATTGAACTAAACAACTGTCGATCAACAGTAGTAAGTCACTTAGTGACAAGGTCTCGGTCAGTGAATTGTTTACTTATTGTTAGAATTTCGATAAAGATCATTGATTTTATATATGTTAGATAAAAATTTTTTTTTCTTACAAATATTTTAAATTTTTTATAATAAATATTTTAAATTTGGAATAAAGAAACGTTGACAAATAAAATAAAAAAAAATTGAAAAATAGATTTTTAAATAATTAAAATTTTTAAATCAATATATGAGTTGAAATAATGGAGCTAAATAATTATGAATATTAAATTTTATGGTTTTAAATAAAAAATTTTCCCAAATGTTTCTTAATAATTTATTTATAAATACAAATAAAGAAAAAATTATACTTATTTCTTCTTACTTATTTCTTCAACAAGATTCAAAATATATATATTATATATACAAAATAGAAAAATAAGTCATAAAATAATTTGTCACATTCTCAATATTTCTTCTTACAATATAATGTATTATACAGTACAATAAAGTTATGAACGATCATCATATTTTATTTAAAAAAATCTCTGACATCGATATCAAAACATGATCGATTTGGCATGAAATGATTTTTATACATAGATATCCAATGCTAATACTATATATACTAATTGTAAGTATTTGAATCATCTTTAAATATCGTTGTGCTGCTTTTAAACGTATATTTACTTATAAACCAATCTAGAAATATTTTTTAACACTCTATGAATAAAAAGCTAATCTATTAGACCTACAATAAAAATTTTAAAAATAAAGTAAAAAACAAGCAAACAAACAAAAAACAAAGACAAAACGATAATGTCTTTAAAAGCTTGCAAAAATAATAATATCTAGATAGATAGATAGCTAAGTATATAGATTATCTTAAAATAAGATAAGTAAACTAATATATTCCCGCTAAACACTTAACGAAAATTCTCACTCATAAACTGTAATAGACAAAACAGAATCTCATAAGTTTGCGTTTCTTTCGTATGCAGAAGACTGCAACATCAATATTACGATCCACTGCGGGTGGTTGACTCGAAATCGAGTCGACGATGTTTCAGACGTTTATGCAGTAACAGACGTTCAAGTAAAAGAGAAGAGGAAGGAATCAAGTGAGTGCAAAAAAAAAAGCATGGTAACACGAGAAAGGAAGAAAGAGCGAGAACAGTGAGGTGAGGCATGGCAAAGAGAGGAATGAAGTGGAATGGAGAGGAAAGGAGAAGCGGGAGAGAAAGATGGACGACACGGCACGACGCAGCGCACGGAGAAACCGAGTCAAACTCTCGGCCGGCTGGCGCCGTTCTGTCGGCCCCCGCTGCCTCTTGCCACTGCCACCAACAATACGCGCCGTACACCTCTTCCCCGTTGTTTCGCCTGCCATCGTCAGCACCAATGCCAGTACTTGTAATACCAACACCAAATTGTGACGTCACCATTTCTATCACCAACCATCACTATGTTGATAATAATTTTATTTGTATAGAGTACTTTTTATAAAGAAATGCTCGACCTCGTTCAATTGCAAACTAAATACACGTGTTTAAAACTCATCTGTGTTGTGTCCGGTCAAGTTTCCAAGCGCGACGAGACGAAGCTTACTCGACTTTCGGGCGCCTTCGCGCAGCGGTATTGGTGCTAAAACCGATATACATGATACATTCTTGAACAGACCGAAGTGATGCGGAGGCTGAAAAAGAAATGTTCAATGTGTTCGTAGTAGTGATCGTATCCGTAGAATCGACGGCATCGATACTGATGGTAATGTTAATAGTACTGGTCATGGTAGTGGTGGTAACAGAGTAGTGGTGGCAGTAGTAGTGTAGTGGTAATGGCGGTGGTAACGTTAGAGGCAGCAAAGTCACAGCGGGCAGGCAGACCAGTTGGGACTTGGGACTATCGCACGCGTGTGCGATGAAAAAGCACGAGGCGAATCAGTATCTTCTCGACCGTGCTTGTGTCAGGATGTGCTTCGTTGATTTTTGGACTCGAATTAACTTCGTATGTGAATAAATTTTCGCATAATGTGTTGCGAATAGTAATCGTGATCCTGATTTTTTTATTCGTGATTTTACATTTTTCGTTTGTTCCTCATAGGGGTGCAACGAAATTCAAATACGGACTATAAAAAGTGTCAAAAAGGAAGCTAGAATAATAGAAGGGAAACCTAAGAAACAACAGAAGAAATTGAAGCAACAAAGAAGTCGCGAAACATGTAATGCGATTTGCCGGTACGACTGACCGCTATACGTATTCGTAAGATCTATCTCATGAAAAGTAATGTATGAACGGAAAGTGTGGTGATCAAGACAAAGAAGATTGTGCTTTCGTGCTTTCAATCATCGATCGATATGGCCCATCACATAGTTGAATCAGTATCCGAATTGTCGGTTTTAATGAAAGGTAAATATTTTTATAAAGGTATATATAGTTTAATAGTTTCAGCGAAATTAAAAATATTTTCGATAATCGATACGGGTACGAATTGAATCATCGAATTGAATCAAATCTTTTGAAATAATATTTATATCTTAATATTTCGATTTTAATAAACAAAATATTTCTATTTCTATTCTATTCGATTAATTTCTTTTAAATATTTATGAGAAAGTTTAAACGATATCTGACTGAAAAGAAATTATTCTAATTTCATTATTTCTATTTCGCTTCAACGCTTTATAGTATCAGTTACAAATAATTACCGCGAAAAGAATCATAAAGGTTAGCAATATAAATGTCTTCATTCGGTCGATTGATAATGTGTGTCTGGTGGGAGTTGCGAATAATGATAATTATCGTTATAAACGGCGCCAGTCGAGTCTGAGTAGATCGACTGCTTCAGCAGCACCAAATGTCATGCATCTGCGAAATAGAGTTGACGAAGAAGAAAGATAGAATAGACTGGTTGCTCTCCTCTGGAGCAGGGAGACACATGGAAAGAGAATGCGATCTGTGGAGAACGGTAAGATGGTGGAAGGGAGAAGTGATAGAAAAGGAGAATCCGAAAGAGAGATAGGACATAGCGGCGCCAGCGTGGGTTGGCGCACACTACTAATAGTTGAAATGACTTGCACGAAACGAACGATTTTTTGATCAAACTCGAAACTTATCATATTATTTTACTATGTTATTTTACATATTATTTTATGTTATAAATTTCTTTAAATTTTTTTTTCTTGCATAGTAATGAATTATTACTGAGACATAACAAAAAAAAAAATATTTATTTTAAGACTATTCGACTAACACTTTCGATCTCTAATATCAGCATTACAAAAAGTATGACTGATGAGCGATAATTTTGCAATAATGTTAAAAATTTGAATGTTCTTTCATTTGACGATTTATCATTTGAAAAAAAATTCGATCAAGTTTGAAATCTTGTTTATTATTTAAGTTGTTTGAATTAAACGAATTGAATCTACTTTTTTTTCAATATAAATATGCTATTTATTTCGATAAATTTAAATAAAACTTAAGACGAAGTCGATGATCGAATGAAATTTACAAATAAGTTAATTGAAACAAAAAATTTTTAAAAATATCATATAAACTTTTATCTTCTTTTCTTACTAAAAATTTTCTTTTATTAATAAAATGAAATGTAAACTAACAGAATTCTAAGATTGAGATGACGAATTCCAAGAATATGATTACTAGTTAAATCAGATTTAACCTTGTCGAAACTGTTGAGTATAATCGATATCCTATTATTCATAGTACAGGTACACACAGGTAAAAAGACAGGGACGAGCAACAAGGGAGAGTTGACTGCTTTGTTGAATGGTAAACGTCGAACTTTCCACCCACCTGTGCGCAAACCTTGCACCTGCTATCTGAACCGGACCTCTTCCGTCCTCTGACTCGTTCCATATAGTCCCTGTGTCATCGCGATCACCGATTTTTCCAATCCTTGCTTGTCGCTTACTACTTTCTCTATTCTTTCTAACAGATTTCTTTTTTTCTCTTCTTTTTTTCTATGTTTCTTCCGTTTCTTTCGGATTTTTAGAGTATTTGAAATTTACAGTTATTGATTGATTGTATCATATATAAAATTAAATCATTTATAGGCAACATTATAGATTTTGAATTATTATAATTGATTTCAATCGAAACAAATTTAAAAGTTGATATGCAAAAATATTGGTTTATTTAAATTATGGATAATGTAATTTTTTTTATCAGAAAAAGACAGAAATAAAATATTCAATTTTATATCTCGATTCATCTGATGCAAAATTAATTTGTTTATTAATTTAAGTTTCAATTAAAGAAGAAAAAGAAGTTTCAATTAATATTTTTGCATAGAAAATTTTATGTTTAGTATCTAAAATATCGTTCTCTAATATATGCTTAAAAAGGATTTTCAATCAAAATAAATTATTTCTTATTTTGCAAAAAATAAAAGAAAAATGAATTGCAAAAGAGCAAAAGTAAAATGATATTAATAGGAATCCAATATTAATGATTAAGATAGATTTGATTTAAACATGCAACTGATTCAGAACTCAGAATAAGTTGAATATTAAAACAAATGGAATAAAATATTTCGATTCGATTCGAAAAATCGTTGTCAATCAAATTTTCGATATATATTAAATAAAAAAATTATAACAAAATAATAAAAATTATAATATCAAGACTCATTGACTTAAAAAGTTTTGTTATATATTATATGTCATAAGTAAATACAAGTGAACAAAAAAAAATTGTCAATTTTTTATAAAAAATAAAAATAAATAAATAAGTAAAAATAAATCGAAAAATAAATAATATTTTTTCGTTTATTTCATTTTTAAGCTAAATAAGTTTGAAAATTTGACAAATATATTTAAATGAATTTGATTAATTTCTTAATTGAAACGGTTAGTTATCTTATGTAAATAATTAAAAAATATAGAATTTGTTATTAATTTGAAAAATAATCCATCAAAATTGAAAGTTAATCGAATACACAAATCATTATTTTTTTACTGTATGTATATTCGTTTCTTAAAAATGAGAATTTAAATAATAAAATTTCATTTTTTATTACGTGTAAAATAATTTTCTCTTATTGATAGTTCATACATATCCAGTTAAAAATTACAAATTGTTAGTAATTTTTTTTTAAATTTGAATTATTAAAAAATAAAATATAAAATGAAAAAATTATATTTTTCTTTTTTGATTTTTTTTATATACAGAATCATTCTTATTTGCTTATGCCACCTGTTTTAAAACATCTGGGATACTTTGTATATATTTTTTGATTCTATAGATATAGTGATAATATTAATACTCGGCTCAAACCCAGCAGCGCCAGTCTTGTTAGAACATAAATTGACCTTAATGTTATTCTCACGCAGCCATTTGGCAATCATTTTTCTCTTTCTTTCTTTCTCTCTCTATCTATATGTATAATATATTCATATATTTGTACGGTATTTTATTTATAATCTCTGCAAAAGTTGGCGGCAATTCCTTCTTCGATTTATTTTAAAAGAGATGCAGAAAGATTACACTCTACTATTTCTAGTCTATTAAGTCGAAACTACAAAGAAAGAAAAAAATTCTATGGAATGAACATTTCTATGGAATGAACATTAATGAATTTTGAAATATGATATCGATTATAAGATTCAGAGTCATTCAAAGTAATCGCTCTACCTATGATTTTGTTTTTGTTTCTAATTTTAATTTTAATTTCATTCAAATTCTTATTTAGATTGTAAATCTTGACAATGATCATTTCAACTTTATTATTTCACATATATGATTTACATGCCAATTTTGCATTTCATTATTTCTATTAAAAATCAAAAAAGAAAAATTAGAAAAAAAAGAAATGATTGAAAGAAAAAAAAAGAGATTTAAATGTTGATAAAAAGAAAAGCAAGAAACTGAGAAAATATATACATACATACCAATCACGTGGCCATCTATTTGTATGTCCCTAACGACGAATGATCGAAGATATCCATTCTGCGGTCAACCGTATGTCTTCGTGCGAGTTTACACATTTATCCAGATGTTATTTTCGTCTGTTTGAACAATTGTCGAATAATATAATAAAGATGCATGATATAGTATAGCATCGCAATATTCGCAATACTCGTCGTTTAAAGATATGTATTTGTCATTAAATATCTCTTTCACCATTATCTGAAATTGATAGTAGCTCGTTTTTCTTTTATCGAGTTCTCGACAATTTATTTTTTTAAAACGAAGTTTGTATAAATATTTTCATTGTAGGAAGTTTCCAGATTCACGATTTTAATGAAATTCTAATATAATATTCAATATTCAATATTCTAATATAATATTTAATATTTGATATTTGTATTTGATATTTGTATAAGAATCCGAATTCTAACCTTCTATTTTGCGTTGTTTCTTCACCGATTTAAATTGTAAATATATGTATATAAAATTGGAATGAAAAAAATCAAAATAGTGATTATTTTCTAACAAAAAAAATTTGCCTCTAATTTTTAAAATTTAATATACAGAAAAGAGATTTTATAAAATTATTGAACTTTTAATTTTTTAATTTCTTTTAAATCATATTTTTAAATATGTTTTTTAATTTTTTAATTTTTATTTCTATCATTATTATTTTATTCTATTATCTAATTAATTCTATTATTTAATATCATCCAATTAAATTTTATTTTATTATTTATTAATTATTATTTAATAATTATATTTTAGTTTATATATTTATTAAAATTTATATTCATAATATAAATAAAGAAAATTAAGAATTCTTTTTATTCTTAACTGATAATTTTCTTAATCTACTCCAAATTTTTTATTATTTTTACATAGTGAACAATAATAAATAATTGCAAAATAATAAACAAAAATATATAAAATCAATAAATATAATATATAATTTTTAATATATAACTCTCAGGTTTAAGACTCCTATTTTTTTCTTTTTCTTCGTTTCTTTTTCTTCTTTTCTTTTCTTTCCTTTCTTCCTTCTTCTATGTACAAGTTTCTATGTACAGTGGGAAACAAACAATATCTTTTCCATTTACAATACAAATTTTTGTAAATACGCATTGAACTGATTTGTCGAAGACACAGATGCTTGATACAAATACAGAGAGAAGCTTATCATAACTACGATAAGCTGTTTCGAGGTGTGAATCGCACTGTCACCAGGTGCGTGCAAGTCGTTATTCGACACGTTATAACGTTATAACGTGAAGCGTTATCCTCGGAATCATTGATCTCAATGGCGCTTTTACGCCCTAAAACATTTATTAATTTGTTTTAATGCATAATAGCTCATATTATGGATGAAATATAGTTTTCATATGAATGAATGCCAAAATTGAATATTTAAAAATTTATATAAATATAATTGTTTTCGGACATTTTATTATATATATTAATTGTCTTTAATTTGTCGTTTGTCATTTTTAGTTAATAATCTTTTAATATTTATTTAATTGCAAACATTAATTACATGATACATTATTTAATATAATTACATTTTTATTTTTGGTAAGAATATTCGTGGAATACTGTTTAAGAATTAAGTTTAAAGAAAATTAAAATTAATATGAAAGTTATATTTGAATTGAAGTTTGCATTAATCGAAGCAAGATGAAGATAGAATGAAAAAGTTTTATCTTGTTTATAAGAAATAATATAAAATATAGAAATAAATAAATCTCAATTGACATTTTTATATATAAATACATATTATATGTAAATACCTTGCATAGAAATATTTTTAATATAATCTTTTCGCTTAATTCAAAGATAATTTTTTCTATATTTTATGTAAAAAATATTCAAATTTATTTGAATATTGAATATTAAAAAATAATTAAAAAAAGATCGGGAACATTATAGCTATTTATTATATAGATATAAAATATTTTATTATTAAAAGTCGATGTTTTTTCAATTCTTGTAATTATTAATTTGTTACATGATTAAAACTAAAATAAAACATAATCGTATAAACGTAATAATCAATAGAAAATAAAAATTATACGAATCAAGATATAAAATAGAATTTAGGATTAAATAAATATAAAGTATTAAATTTGGGATATAGAAACTTTTTGATTTCTTCTTTTTGATTGTTTTTATCTTTCAATAATATTGAATTAAAAATTCATAAATTCAAAAGTTATATTAGCAAATATTAGTTTTTATCTTAATATTTTATTACTTTGTGCCGTTAAATATTCTATATCAAATTCATTTTTTTCTTTTTTCAATTATATTCATTTTTTCGTTTTTTTTTCCTATCATCAATTTAATTAAATTAATACTTACTAATTATATGTAAATATTATTTATTTAGTATATGTTTTCTTTATTGCCTTTATTAGATTTAATTTTTAAATTTAACTTAAATTATGGAATATAGAATTTATATTATTTATATTTATGAAATTATATTTATGTTTATAATTATTAATGTAAATTATTTTTAAATACGAGTTTCATTTTTTAAATTTTATTTAAATTTTAGTTTAGTTTAAATTAGAAAAAGAATTTATGTGACTCAGATTAAATTTATGTTTAGTCTAATTTAGTTAAATTTTATTATATTTATAATCAATTTCAGTTAAATTAAATTTAAATTAAATCTGTATTTCTGTACAATTAGACTATGAACAGAAATATAGAGATCAAAAAGTAGAGCACGAATACTAAATTTTATAGACTCATAAATTTTGAATTAGTATATTTCTAAATTTAAAATTTAGTTTCTAAATTTAAATTCTTTGATTTTGTTCGAAAAGTAATATATACATAAGTAATATATACATAAGTAATACATATATAAAGTAATATATACATACAAATATATACATAATATATACAAAAAAAAAATTAAAAATTATTTATGCTTTAAATGAAATTTGATTTCGATTTCATATAAATAATGATTAGATAAATGATAGATTTATATGATAGAGATTTATAAGATATAAATACACATATAAATATAATATATTATATTATAAATATAAATATAAATATAAATATAAATATAAATATAAATATAAATATAAATATAAATGATA